GGTTATGGCAGCTTAGGTAGAAACAAATCCAGAATTTTAGAGCTTCTTAAAGATCATCTAGCTTAGTCCCGTTATTTTGCAGATGAGGAAATGATAGCCCAGAGTGAGAATTATTTCTTCTTTGATTTAGTAGGCATTGTAGAAATCATCCAGTCTGACCTGTCAACATCAACATCTTCTTACAGTCTAGGAATGTCTCCCTTAACATGCCTGACAGCTGGTCATCCAAAGGATGGTCTGGGGAACTCATAATTTGTAAAGAGAGAACAACTCTAATTAAAAGGAACTAACTGAATTGAAGTCTACTTCCCTGTAACTTTTATCTTCTCAGTGGTTCTAATTTAATTCCTTTCCTATGTAACATCCCCCAAGGTAAGACCACCTCAAACCCCCAAATTAGGAAATAACACTGTAATATATACTTGCCTTAATCAAATTGAAGTATAACTGAAAAAAAACTTTATTGATTCTATAAAGACAGGGCATTCTATACTCTTTCATGTATTCAAAACTTCTTTTCTCAACTAAGAATCACTACTTTCTTGGTTTTTTACTCTCTCTTCCTTTCTGTAACAGGCACTAGCATTTAGCTCTTTCCATGAAACTTCTAATAAACCTACATTTTATCACTTCATGAGTATAACTATACAAAACTATGAGGAGTTTTGATAGCAGAACTCACCCCTGTAACCTGTCTGTGGTTTCTCAGTTCATTTTTGCTAGCTGTGGGCCTCTCCATTTCTATTGTCTCCTTCTTAGTCTGTGAAGAGTTTCCCAATTGGTCTTCTTACCTTCAGCCTTCTTGTGCCCAAATATAAATTCTTTGCTTCTGTTAGAATGATTTGTTTAAAATGCAAATTTGACTTGTGCTAACTTCCTTAATTCAGTGGTTCCTCAACACACAGTGCTCCAAAAATTTTCCACTAAATGACCACTGATGATAGAGGAGCCTTTCTTAGCTGGATTTCCATGAGAGAATTAAACCCTGATGCCATTAGGCATCCACTGTATGTAAATGTTAACTTTTCTCCAATGCATCTTGAATGGTACTAGTTATATTCGGTCTTAAGGATAATTAAGAAAATAGTCACTTGAATCATTTTCTTTGTTCTGTGGTTCTGATGAGGAACCCAGTGTAGAGTGAAGGAGAGAGAGAATGTATGTTCTTCAGTAGGCCCAGAAGCATGACTCAGAGCCACCTCCAGAAAAAAAACCACCAAATTTCATTGAAGTCTTGGGTTTCATCTTTAAATGTATGTGACTGTTGCATTCTACTACATAGTAAGTCCAGGGTTAAAAGTGTTTTAAAATATTTATCAATGAATAAAATTTATTTTCCAGGAAGATTTGCCTAGGGTTCGTAGAACTACAAATAACTGCCTTTTTTTAAGCCCTGTAGTGGACATTTTATATATGCTATATTATTTACTGTCTCTAGGAAGATTGCCCAAGATCACACAGCTAATCAGGTGTCAGAGTCAGTGTTCTAACCCGATATGCCTCAACTCTACAACTTGAAACTGAGTTGAGAGTCAAGAGCCTAAAAGTCTGCCCATTTCTAAGTTTATCTTCACCAGAAGGTAGGATTTTTTTTCTTGGTCAAGTTACTGTTGTGGTTCAGATCATGCATAATTCCATACTTCTTATGCAAAACATAACTAGCCTTGATTATCCAAACAAAAATGAGCAGTGGTGCAGGTAATTTCATATAACAAGAAATCTTGCCTCTCTTTGGTGGTTCTGAAGCATATTAAGTGACTTTTTTTTAGTAGCAGATATACTTTTCTAGTTGTTTTGTCTTGATGGTTATTGACATGTTGTCATTTCTTGAGTACGCTTTAGCTGGTTATAGGAGCTAGCTTTTTGTGGCAAGAGGAAGCCATCTTGCTATTGAAAATTTGGTTTCAGGTAAACCCCACCCAGATGACATAGAATTGACTCCATTTGTGTCTGCTTATCCAAAACACTTGGGAAAGCTTAAATGCTAAAGTACCAAGGAAGTTGCCCCCTACCCCCTGCCTCCCCAATCTGGCATTTACCCAGCCATCTGGAATCCAGTTTCTGTTAGGTGTTCAGAGAGAACTTCTGGAATGCCCTGTCAATGGCCACATTCAACACAGAATTTCAAGGAGATCTGGCTCCTTTAGCTCTTCTGAGAAGCTGGAACAAGACTGAAATTATTGCTAATGGAGGGAACCACAGTGGCTGTTTTCAATCATCTATGCACCTTTGAATTTCTGGTTCTTTCAGAAAGCTTGAAATATGGGAGTCTAAGGGCATCCCAAGGATGGTGTACGGAGAGCTCTGTGAGGTTCTTTTATTTGTAACCTCCTGCCTCTTTTGCTGTTCTAACCTCTCTTTTCACCATGAATTACTAAAGATTGCATCTTAGTACCTGATACCCTTTACATAAAGTAAAAGAGGAGAAGAGTTAGACTAGAAGGGAAAGTCCAGAGTTAGGGTTAGAAAACCTGTTGAGTCAAAGGGGAACTTAGCAGAGGAACGGAATGAAAATTATTTCCTTAGACAGTAGAAAAATATTCAGGAAACACCTCTGCACCCCAAAGATAGGCACAGCTGCCATATAGTGCCCATTAAAGGGAGGTTCAAAGTTACGAGCAAACAGCTGATTCTCTTGGTTCTTGGGCTGTTGCTGTTGGTGACAGGAAATCTTGTTCCCCAAGCTGCTGGCTTCCTGTTTTATTTTTACTCTTAGCAGATCAGAATGTCCATAACAAGGAGCAGTCTGTTCCAAAGGGTTCTACTCCCTCTTTGAGCCTGAAGGGCTTTTTTTTACTTTTGGTTGGACAATATGTTAGTTCACTTTTAAGTTCTATGTTATTTAGCTTGGTTTAAACATTTTGTATTCACAATCAACTTTTTTGGTGATGAACTGATGTTATAAGATTTGATGTAAGTAAACCTCTGTTTTGTTTTTATTGTTGTTTAAAAGGAGTTTGCAATATAGGGGACTTGGGTATGTTACCTTTATATTTCACCTCTTTATTTAAAGTGAATCTGCCATTTTCCCTAGCACGAAAATCATTAGACTGTTTTGGATAGCTCTAGTTTCATAAAACAGGGAAATAGGACCACAGCCCAGTGTGCCATGGCTGTAGTCATATGCATTTTGTTGAGACTAAAACCTGCTTCTATCCTTGTAAAGCTAGGAATTTGGTGATCTAACTAAAACAATAGCTCAACATGAACCTGAAGTGCTGGGGGATTTCCTAGGGAAAGGGGCTCAGCCGACAGGATAAGAAACAGTAACTGGAAGGTTTCCGGATCTGCTCCAGACACTTCCTGCTGTCTCAAGAGCCTTTTGGCCCAGGTGTGTTGAACCAGATGGGAGAGAGAAAGGGAGCTATTGGATAGAAGAGAAAGGATTAGGGAATCTTAAAGCATAGTTTGCTCGGCATCATGTTTGACATATTGAAGAACGTGTAAATTTTTCGTTGATACCCTGTCCATTTACAGACTAAACTTCAGTAGTGTTAATAGATACTGGCAGCTAGTATTTAGTTGTACATTAACAGTCATCCATCAGGGAAGAACTGGAGAAGTTATGTCCTGATGTAGATCAATGGAATCGCTATTGTCAACTTAATTTCATTGTGGAGATTATCAGATGACAGAAGCTCTTTTTTTGATCTTTATAATTGATCATGTGGAATCTGATCTGTCCTGCTTATGGACACCCCAAGGATAGGATCTGTACCATCTAGGATTTGCTGAATGGGCTGTTTTCTAACCATGCCTCCTTGCCTCTGGAGATTCTTGTTGGTTGGAACATGGTTGTTATTTTAAGGTTTTTAGTTTTTTTATGCTGCCCATAGTACTCCAGCCAGCAGTCATCAGTTCAGAATTTCTAAACTTATTCAGCAAGTCTTCTATTACCAAACCTTTAAAAGGTTGGGGTGGTGGTA